TTGTGAAATATAAATAATAATAATTGTTTAAAATAAAGATATCTCAAACTCATCAGATCACAATATTGGAATATTTATGCCGATGGGAAACGATAATTTGAATTATAGATGATTTTGAGAGATCGTTTCTGTAGTACCATAAGCGGTTATACATTTGTACTATAGACCCCTCCCCATCCTAGATTTCCATACATTAAGAGTGACTGAACCAACGAAAAATATAGTCTTTTACAAAGATATTCTATATGTACTTTCCAATGAAGATTATGGTCAATGTGTATTCCAAGATATTTCACTGAACTAGATTTTTTCAAAGTTATGTTCTTATTTCTGCTACTTAAATGAATATTGATGCTTTGTGCATTGGGAAAACCATGACTGTTACTACAAAATGAAATGTAAGATGTTTATTCAATATTTATTGTCAGTAAACTATCATCAAGCCAATTTACTATAGTGTCAATATCGTTTCTTGTATGAGATATTACATCTTCCCAGGTTGCTCCATCAATTATTAGTACTGTATCATCAGCATATAAGACCATTTTTCCAGAAATATCAATGGATAACATATCATTCAAATATAATACAAATAGGATTGGCCCTGAAACAGTACCATGGGAAACTCCATACTTAGTTTCTAATGAGTTGCTCAGAACACCGTCTATTTCAACCATTTGTACTCTTTCATTGAGGTAGTTTCTGATTAGATCGTTTGCCAGACCTCTGATACCAAGATTATTTAATTTCGATAGCAATTTTTCATGACTAATGGTATCGAAGGCCTTAGCCAAATCGATAAATACTCCCAGGCATGGTCGTTTTTTATCTAAGTGATCATATATTTGTGTGACTGTATCAACTATGGCATCAGAGGTTGATCTTCCATTTTGAAAACCAAATTGGAAATCTGAAATTATACGATGTCTCTCTGGGAAAGTCATTAAACGTTTTTTGAGGATTTTTTCGAATATTTTTGCCAAATTGGATATTATGCTCATTGGACGGTGATTGCTTACTTTGTTTTTTTCGCCCGACTTAAATACAGGTTTAACAATTGTTATTTTGAAGTTCGAGGGGCGTATACCAGTGGCAAAAATAGCGTTTATCAAAATACATGAAGGTTTCGTTGAATGTTCAGATGAAGTTTTGATAACTTTTACAGAAATTCCATCATACCCAGTTTGTCTTTAGTTCTTTAATTAAATTCAATATCTCAACCTCATCACATGGTTTTAGGAAAATAGTATCACCTACAGTATTCACATTTTGAGTTATTACCTCATGTGCTTCTTGCCTGATTTTTCGAGACATTTTTTCACCCACAGTTGAGTAATGATTAACAAATATATTAGCAATATCGAGTTTGTTAGTGATTATTGAATTATCTTCTGTTTTTATTTCTTTCAGTTTTTATGCTTTCCTGAAAATTCATTGACAGTAGACCATAGTACTTTTGGGTTATTTCTATTTTCTGATACTTTCTTCTTATAGGTAGTACTTGTATTTTTCATTTGTTATTGTATTTGTGACTTTATTGCGTTGAGTTTTATATTTTTCAAACATTTCTTCATTGTTAGGAAATTGATTATGTAACTTAAATAGTTTGTCCCTTGTTTTCATCCATAAAATCATTTTTGAGGTGATACATGGTCTTTCACTATGTAGGATTGGTAATATTTTTTGTCGTGTGACCCTTTCCATTATACTCTTTATTTTTGTTGTTAAATTTTCAGACATATTATCAACATTGGTATTTTGACTGAAATAACTACTCCAGTCTTCCGTTCTTGCCAATAATTCTAGCATTTTATAAATATGAAGGAAACTGGGCCATCGTCAATAGTATCCAATTTTTTGAATATTCTGATATGTCAGCAATGTAACATTCACCAGACTTGAGTTATGTAAAATGTATGGTAATATGGTATAAATTCGATATTAGAAACTCAAAATCAGTAAAAAACGATGAATTGGGTTATTCCTTGTTTCAACATAAATCAAGACCAAATTAGAATGTCGAACAGTTTCATTCGAACAGTTACGAGGACGCCACTGTCGAGTACTGATACTGTCAGTAAAAGTATCACATCTTCAATGGATCAAAAATCAAGTGACTTCAACTTCTTAACTATATTTCATTTGAATATTTGGAAACTTTCCAACAAATTAGATCAACTTTCTCTATACATGGAAGAAAGTGATTTTTTTGATGTCCAGTGTTTTTCTGAACATTGGCTTGAGCAAGGTTGCTTACAACTTTGCAATATTCCTGGTTATAATCTGGCACCATTTTTTTGTAGATCAAGGCATTATCACGGTGGGGTGGCCATACTCGTTTGTGAAAATATAGCGTTCAAACAACTGAGTGCCAATGAGTTTTGCATTGAACGTGATATTGAGGTATGCGGCATTGAACTTATCCGACCTCAAATTGCAATTATTATTACAATCCATACATCTGTATGTATTACTGACTGTGCGATCTTTTTCGATGATCTTGAAAACTGTTTACTTTCTATTTCTGAAAAAATGTCGAAGATTATACTGTAAGTTTACGTCCACTGGACGTAAACTTACAGCTTGTTCAGAAAATAAGACAGGATTGCCACTTGGAACAATACTCACATTGAAAATTTCTGGAGAGGATTCTGGATTCTGCGAGAAACGTGTTTCATTTCTGAGATACGACGTATACACCCAATTTTCTGTGGGACTAGACATTGCATGATAATATAATCTTCCACCTCCTTCATCTACAGAGGGAGCTAAACTCATGCCGAGTATTCCATCCATCAAGTCAAAACTATCTCCTGAAAATGACAAAAAATTATATAATAACCTTCAGTATTCACTGTGAGAAATAGAATCGTGATTATTAGGCTAATAATGATATCTCGATAATGAATGTCAAAAATTCTCACTGATTGTAACCAGATCCAACATCAGGCAGTGTCTAAATTGAAAGGGGTATAATTTTCGAAATAAATTATTTTTTGGGAAAAATTAGTGTCTTTTATTTACCAAGGTAAAAAAAAACACAAAGAAACATACAATGGGTTTGGTAAAGTCCCGGAGCGGAATTCAGAAAACAAGCGTGTGGAACACGTCAAATCCTGCTCTTCCATTCAACTCCTTTACAATATACAAAACTTAAAAGTATTCATCGAACATATGATGTACAAAAAATTATAGTGCCTATGTAGTACTTCTCTTTTCTCTACAACAGTGTCCAACACCCTTTTGAGTTTGATATACGTCTCAAAAGACAACCCGTCTGTGTTATACCTACTCTTATACATGCCCATATGATGAAGTGGTTCTTTATTTTAGAAGAAAATGAAATTAAAAGGCTCACTTGACCTTTTCCCATCTATTCCATGTATTATATCACGTGTAAGCTGTAATAGCAAAGCTTCAGTGCTCTGCGATAACGTTTCGGAAAAACAAAATATAAAACTGTATTTTATCCAGAAATGTTTTCAATGTGTTTATTAAACAGATATAAGAAGAAAATTGGCTTCGTTTTATAAAACATTTCAGTGTTCATTAATCTTTTATTTTACAAACACTACAAAAGAGTTTCTATAAACATTTCGGCAGTTTATACACAATTTCTCTAACACTCTTAAGAAGTAGTTTTGTGAAGATACTCATTAAATAATCGAAATATAATTTCGTAGTTTCAAGTAAGCGTTATAAAATATTATGCAGCCAAAAACGATAACGAAAACATGAAAAAGTGTTAATTTATTTATTTATTTTCAGTGGAATACGAAACGGGACAAACCCAAAAAGAGTATTCACAAATTATGAGGTGAAAATAACAATAATTGATTTGATTGTTATAAATGATATGCAATATGTTATGGAGAGTTATTACAGTTATTAGATATAGATGTTATGTTTAGCATATTTCGGTACATATCACAACACAACAAAAAAATATTTTTTGAATGTTTCCTACACTAAATTAGTCAATTTCTACTAATTTTGGGGTGATAAAAACGAAAATAACAATGAAAAATTTTTATTAGCTCTGGTTTTTGAGATACACAATACTTAATCTTGAAGAGTAGTTATACTATACGTGAAAAGTGAAAGTACATAAAACAATATTGTTATGTTTCTTTTAGAATATT